TGGGGGCCGAGTGGATGAGCGAGAGCCAAATCTTCATCTCGGACGGAGCAGGAGGGGTGGGGGGTGAAAATGATGAAAAATGAAATAGGGTATATCTGGAGGGGGAGTTGAATGGATGGATTGAGGGAGGGAAGAGAGATAAGAAGTCGAGGGTCATCATTCTTTCAATCCCAAATCCAACAATCAGTTTAAGCTTCTACCAGACGTAAGTACAACACAGAGAGAAAAGGAAGCATCACGGTGGCCTCATGTTACCTCCAGGAGTTGATTTAGCATTTCTGCAGATAGCGGTCATTCTCTATGCTTGTTAGCATCAGCTTCAGCTATACATATCCATCCACTAAAATGAAACAACATCATCAATGGATAACACTTACCCTAGTTCTTGTATAAACAATGATAATGGAAAATGTTTTTTTGCATTGATGTATACAACAAATTCTTACTTCAAACCTGACACAGCTTAAGTTGGTCAGTTACTGCTGTCCACTTTCAACAGAATAAGGAGGTAAGGTGGAAAATAAGTGCTTTTTCATTAAATTTTTTTTTTTTTTAAATCAACAAAAGAAATGCAAGGAGCAATGAAATAACATCCCGGCTGTTTCTTCTGTATTGTAAATTAATTTGTATATTGAGATTGAGGTCGCTTTGTTTTAAACTAATAAAAAAAATAAAAAAATAAATGTATGTACTGGATTGCATATAAAAATAATGATGAGTCACTTTGACTAAAGAAGAGAACAACATTCCTATCCAAGGAGTGAATAGAAAGAGGCAATGTGTCACCGACAAAATATCTAGTCTGCACTCTGAAGAGAAAGACCTCTTCAAGGAGAACTCCATTGAAACAGCACTTAATACTTTGCAAGTAAAGGGCAACGAAGACACATCTATTCAAAGTGATCTGTCTTAAAAATTAAATTTAAATTCAATAACAAAGAAGGAACTGATCCCCTGTCCCTGACCTCGCATGTCATACTGTTTGAACCTCTTTAAAACTCTTGTTTTAAGAACAACAGCACCCTCTAGCTGCACACAAGGGTGATGCATGAGGGGCTCAATCCTGCTTTGACATAAGAACACTGACCAGCACTGATAGGTTGTTGCAGGGAATGAATGGGACATTTTTGGTAAAAGCTAAAAAAAAAAACCACATTATTTTATTTACTGTATTATTTACAATTTATACATTTGAGTGATTGAGGCCATAGGTGATGTCAGATGAATAAGAAGGCACTATACATTGTAAAAACTGTAAGGGTTTCTTGTGAATTACATACATGTGAGATGATTCAACTTTGGAACGGACTATGTTATAAACAGCAGCTCATAAGAAAGGTTTACTGGTCTCCCTAAAGAGAAAGGACTCAAGACGAAAGCCACAGCTGCAATTTCCAGGAGCCAGCGTCTGCAAAAACAATTGAGCAGCTGATTAATGCCTTTTGACTCCTAAGGATTATTGAGTGACAGAGAAATGAAAGAAAAAAATAATGTATTACAGCATTCAATTAAGCATGACAGCTCCAACAACACAGATTGTGGATTAATGAGAGCTGCCTGCCTATTTCCATCAATGTCCGCTGTTTTTTTTCATTCATTCTCTTGATTCATTTTTTCATTCAATCATTCAAAAACAAAAAACATGTAACCGGTCTCCCTAAAGAGAAAGGACTCAAGACGACGTCCGTTTCATGTTTTTATTGCACATTATATGAAAATAGGGTTACTCTTTTGGTTTGTGGTTACTTCTGGTTGAATGAAGACACTTCAGCTGTAAATGCAAACTACATGCAAAACAATGTACAGGTGAAGTCCCATGACATTGTGTAGCCTATCCTAAATTATATTAAAGTCTCTTGCAGGAGTCTGTTAGGTTGCTATTTTCTATATCAGTTTCCCTAGATGTTGTATGTTGTTATGCATAATTTTTTTTACAATCAACTATAGTTTTTAAATCAGGCAACCATAAACTATGTGTAGAACTATCATTTTGGTAAGAAATGTCTAAAGACAAACCCAAAGATCGAAATTCTCATCATCCACACCCATGAGGCTTGGAACAACTTGCCTGACAATGCCCAGACACGAGGTTTAATATTTTGAGGTAACACTCTGTTGTGTAGGCCTAGTACTGCGTTTTACTTCTGTTTGCAGTTCCGGGTAACATCCACCAAGTGTCCTCACAGACTAATTATAATTTCACTGACAAGGAACTCACTTACAGCGTTAGTTACAATTCCCCTAACTGCATTACTTTTATTTGTCACTATATAAAATGATTACCTTTTAACGGAATCACCTCTTAGGTGTGTGGAGAATTAAAATAAACTATTTATTCCACGTGATCATGATCACTTTACACCATTATTAGCCATTCTCTCAACTGACAGATCTCTATCTATCTGTTTGCACCTTCTGTGTTATGTGTATTTTTCAGAAACGAACACAGATTACAGTAACTGTTCTTTGTAATCACATTACAATGCTGCTGTTCCATGTTCTATATCTACTGAAAGAGTGAGGAGAGAGGATTAAATAACCACCAGAGGCCCTCAGTGATCTGCAGCGATCTCTTTCTGTAGCTGCCAGCAAACAGCTCACTCCTGTTATTCACAATCAGCTGCGAGCGGATGCAAAAGCTATTTCTGTATTTTGTCACGCAATCCCAGAAGCTCTGTTCAGCGGCTGTTTGAAAAACCACAGCTGCAATTTCCAGGAGCAAGCGTCTGCAAAAACCATTGAGCAGCTGATTAATGCCTTTTGACTCCTGAGGATTATTGAGTGACAGGGAAATGAAAGAAACAAATAATGTATTACTGCATTCAATTAAGCATGACAGCTCCAACAACACAGATTGTGGATTAATGAGAGCTGCCTGGCTATTTCCATCAATGTCCGCTGTTTTTTTCATTCATTCTCTTGATTCATTTTTTCATTCAAAAACACAAAACATGTAACCATCCTTGAACTTCACATTCAAACTGACATCTGGAAAGAGAAATAAATAGAAAGTACAACATTAAACAGATAGCAGGGGGTTGGGGTTGAGTGACAGATTGGAAAAGCTCAATCCTAGCTCAAAAAGACAGATTGGCAGGCGACTGCGGTGTAGCTCCACTAGTCGGACTAATGTTGTCAACACCACCAAGTGGTTTCTGTCCCATCGGGGCCAGTGATACTGACAGCTACATGCAAGGATTGTGCGGCGAAAAGCTTATGTGACTGACTATATAAGGCCTCCAGAGGCTACACTAGCACACACAAGGTGATTGGGTTCGGGATGACGGAAGACAGGAGGGGAAAGCCAACCACAAACAGCCTTAAAGCTTCTTTGAATTAATGCTTTTGCATGGATGTGAACCAGCAACCTCCCAGACACTTGCTTCGACACTGTCTACTCCCGCTGTCCCTGATTTATTACAGTTTGCTTTGTGATGAGCATTTAAATGATCCCTCCCCTGCAGGGCGTGGAAATGTAAACCCGGATTAATGGATCATTAGAAATGTACCATTTTTTATCCTGCAAAATGAATTATCCTTTGATTTTTCCAGGCCTCCCTGCATGTGTGTATGGGAGACAGATCGTGAGGGAGATGGATAAAAGAGATTTGCACAAAAAAGATTCACTTTCAGGTACAGATACATAATGTATGATGCAGTATATACACACAATTCTGATTAGATTTAGAAATGCATGTTAAATCCTACTTGCAAAAAAAAAAATTAAAAAAAAAAAATATATATATATATGTATATACCTCTACTGTAAAGGTTCATGAACTAAAAGGTGCAATGTGTAAGAATTGAGTCTACCTGTCTGAGCTAATGGCAGTTAGCAGCCATTAGCTCAGTTAGCCGTGCAGCTACATTTTGACACAGCTTCCGAGACTGACAGAGGCCATTTTGATGACAGGGAATAAAGTAACAAAGTGATTTACAGCACTCTGGCCAGGACTCTGGGGATGACAAAGACACAGTGGCTTCTGGCGGGGACAGGAGAGGCGTCGAGCAGGAGAGGAGCGAGAGGGAGGTCGGGCATTAGACAGGCAGCGACAGCGTGTAGGCAGACTATTTTCACATTTAGCTGAGTGAATTAAGGGTTTATTTCCATCAAACAACAAGAGTTGGTGATTGTTGTTGAACAGTGGAAAAACTTTTGTTTTTGGTTCCTGCACAGTTTTAAGGACTTTACGATGAGTTAACAAGGCAATTAGTTCGGTGAAAGAGAGAAATTTGAATTCAGAAGCTGTATGGTTGTTTTCTGTTTTTTAATAAGGAAAACGGGTAAGAATAGATAATTTCTTTACATTTTGGGAGTTTATTTTTTCAACCAAAAAAGCTAACAGCGCTCTCTAAAATAGCAAACTCACTGCTCACCCACATCTCCCAGCTGAAACTACCGGGGGCGCCTGAGCTACACTGCTGGACTATTGCCTCTCAAGGCACAAGTGGTATCACAACAAAGGACAGGCCAGGGCTAGCTCTTAGCATGTCAACTTTAGTAGCTATTAATGCAACACTATACATAGACATCTTTTACATGACGTCAGAACTGTTACTTCAGATTACATCATCAGTTTTGTATGTTTATGTAACCGAGCTAGCTTTTTTCTTATTTAGTTTATGTTCTGATTATGATCAAATGAACATATGAAGACATCACACTAAATAATCTCTAATACACTTCTTAATAATAGACATAACAAATTTGATTTATAAAGTTTATAAATTCAACATTTCACATGTGAGGCAGTATTATGTAATCAGCTTGTGTGCAGTACGTTCTTTCATTTTGTTTTATTTATTTTCTGTGGATGTGGTAATTGGCTGGTGAGATACAGTGAGTGAATGCACTTTGGATGATGAATGGAGATGCAGAGGGTGTTTCTGTACGTTAGCAGACTGGCACCAAAATGGGCAGATCATAAATCCAGAGGGTGCTCTGAGTCCTGAGCAACGATGAGTTCAGATGCTGTTGTCACAACCTGGCTCAAGGGTCACGACAAAAGAGGGAACGAGGCAGCATAAATAATCAAAAGTGATTTATTTAACAAAAGAGTGAACTAAACATAACTATTTAAATGTGCAAGGTGTGTCTCTGTAAAATAAATAACTCAAAGCAAGATGTGGCAGTCAGGGTGGTCAGGCCATGGTTGACATCTGGATTGCAGAGAAGAAAAGAGCAAGTGGTTTGACCAAGTGGAGCTTTATCTCCCCTGGCTCACAGGTCCAAGGTGCACCCGATCAGCAATCACCTCAACAGAAGAAAGATGGTTAACAGTGGTGAGGTATCACTCCCACAGAGTGATGCCTCACCGGATCACACAGGGGCCGTCAACAGTCATTCATGGTATCATACCACGCTGCTAAGCTGAAAGCTTGCTGCCTGCGACAAAGGTGCCAAAAATTCTCTGTTTTGAGCTTCTCAAATGTGACAATTTTCTGCTTTTCTTTGTTTTATAAGACCATAAACTTAATTTCTTTAGCTTTTGGACTGTAGAAGACATCACAGTGGGCTTGGAGAAACTTTAAAAAACATTTTATAGACAACTTGATTAATCGAGAAACTAAATTGCAGATTACTCAATAATGAAAATAATTGTTAGTGTCAGCTCTAGTGGAAATGAGCCTTTGTCATGTGACAATGCCCGTCATTTGGAATTAAAACTTGATCACAAGTGTTGACATGTAGTTTACATTGCCCCTGAATCAATGTGCATACTGTGTACAAAAATGTATTTATTTAATTTCTGACATTAAGTCTTTTGTTGTCTTTTTAAAAATACAAAGCGGAGAGGCTAGTTAATAAGACAAGGTTGTAAAAATTAAGCTTCTAGCTCAACAGCTTTCAAATTATCATGTATTTGCAGAGACCAGTGTAATGTACATACTGACAAGGAAAAATGTAAATTGAGCATTATTGAACTACTACAAAAAACGCTGACAAGGCCACGTTTAGTCTTCATACTTGTATCTTGTAACAAAGTTCAAGTCTGTTGTTTCCTATGGAATAAGAATTAATGCAGAAAATATTTCCTTGTGAAGATCAGGCATCATATGTGCAACTGAACTCATTGTTTGCAGACATGAGCTGAAATATGGGGATGAAAGAGGCAAGCTGAACAAGCAATGCAAACTTAAATTACTCCAGTTGTTAGATATGATGTTAAATCACACACAGCTAAAATTTCAAGTATGACACAAAAAAGTCTACTTTCTCTTGAGGTGTAAAGATAGCAAAGATGTGCCCAGGTGACTTAAATCGTACTACAAAGTCAAATATTTAATAATTAAATTATAACAAATTCACTACAAATCATAATTAGGATGACAAGGACAGGTTCAAGTGCAAATAACTTCCAACCAGTGATCAATTTGAGACTGCATTTATGAACTGAACCAAGGAAAGAGATGGGTGTGTTACAGATAACTTGTCTTACAAAACATTCATCAACATTGTAAGATGATTTGAATACTGCAAAGCTAGTTTACAGACTGCTACTATTAAATAAATCAATCAACTATCTTCCAAGATTAGGCCCGCCTGCACTGCTCCTTTAAACAGCTGAAACAAAAGATATTTTCTTCCACTTGCACTTCTGAGATCACACACACACACACACACACACAAACACACACACGCAAGCACTTTGTATTACCCTCACGTTTCCCTAGTCAGTAGTCGGTTTTAGAAAGAGTGTGAGACAAAGTGAAGTGGAGGGAGGCTGTATGTGTGTGTGTGTTGGGGGGGGGGGATCTAAACAACTGTGGTCTGTGGGATATTGCATAACGCGATTAGACTGCAGGAATCTGAGAAAGAAGTCCTATTGTTCACAACCATGTGAGGGAGAGAGAGAGACTGTTGTTCAAAACCATGTGACACGAGGTCAGAGTTCAAACACACAAGAATGAGGCATGGAGTTGCATGAGAGACAGTGGGGCATCACACTCACCTCCTCAAAATCAATTCTCTCTACTTTGTCTGTCCTTGTTTCTTCTTTCTTAGAGAATATTGATGAAGTGTCAAACCCTGCCTTGCTCACAAGAGAAGCTCAGAAACATCATCCTTAGCAAAGTTATGACTGGAATGAAACTTTTTTTACTGTAGTATACAGCTACAACTAACAATCTTTTATTTCTTAAAAAAATTACTCAAACCGATTAATCAATTATTAAAGTACTTGGGAATTATTTTAATTGACAACTTATCAACAATAAATTATTGCAGCTCTGCCGTTAGTGTCACTTCTATTCATCAAAATATCTATAAAAATAAAGTAGGTCACTCATGATTCTAAATGGCACCATGCTATCAAAGTTAACCATATTTAAACCTCGACATCAAACTCAAAGATATCACAATAAGATCTATAGAGTTCCGACTTTACTGTGTGTGTTTAAGCCTCTAGTCTGTACACCAACCTTTTCTAACTGTCTTTTTAAAACTCCAAGTTGAGAATGAATAATACAATTTTTTAAAAAGGAGTGAAAAGATGAAGAAACATTGCAGCCCTACTATCACTAATTTCCCCATGGGTATACACAGTCTAAGGACTGTGTAGCCTTGGGTTAAGAGCAGCAGGATCAGACCTCCGCTGTCTATTAATAATTAAACTATGCTGTGCAAGAGACACCAGGGGCTTTACGCTGCACTAAAGAAAGATGAAAGAGGGCCAGAGAAAGAGAATAAGGCATTGTAAGGGATGTGACAAACAGGAGGGAGGATAAATGACATAAATGTAAAAGACAAAGATGAACACAGCAACTAGGCCACAAGCACTTGCAACCTCCTCTACAACACTGTCTTACTGTCAAAATGTTCATTTCTGGCGGCATATGAACATAAACATAGACAGCCTCAGAATCACAACACAGCACAGCTAAACAATGAACGTATTTGTCATGGGGAAAGCCAAAAACTGCCATTAAAGAAGAAATGGATTAAACAGTAAGACAAAAACAAAATAAACATAATTTATTCCGTAAAAATAAACTGTAACGATGCATAAGTAGAGCTACCCGACAGGAACACCAGTGACAAAGACCCTGAGGCTGATGAAGAATTTTACTCATAATGTCAAGAACATTTCAGAGACATTATTGTGTCTAAAAAAACTAAACTGACATGACAGCTAAAGAACTCACACAATGAGCTGGCTTTAAAACTAGGATATTCAATGATGGTAGCATCTGACATTGTCAGTGACCAACATGTGCAGGCTGAAGATGTGGCAACTGCATACAGGGCAGCTTCTCTGGCTGTACAGGCAGTAACATGGGATTCATTTGTGTCACACTGCCCAAAAAACATTTAGCAGAGGGTGGGTAAAACCAAAAATAAGCAATCCCCTTCACAGAAGATTTTAAAGTTTCATAAAACACAAAGCTTAGTGAGTTCTGTCATAAATTCAACTAAAGATGGCAGAACAGCCAGGTTTCCCTTCACATGTGGTGCAAATTTTACCTGGCTTTCCAGAAAATCAGCAAAAGGAGATCCCAGTGAATTCAAATTGAGGAGGGCACACCTTGAAAACGGTGGAAAACCAAATCTCAAGTCATACAACAGAAGAACAACAATAGTCACTTTATTTCTTTACATAATTTTATTAATAACGATTTTCAGGAGGTGACAGAGAATCCTAGCTGACACATTAACTGACTAACTATTCTGAGACAAAGTAGCTAAGAACAAAGATTTAATCAGCAGGGAAATCTCAGAGATGAATCTGATCAATGTGATTGGTTCTTAAGAGGCATCCATCATAATTATTTGCATATTTAGTGTATTCCACTTCTGTATTATGACAAGCCAGAGTTGCTTCACCACCTGGCCCATCATGCCTTAAGGTTAGTTAGAAAAATGTTTATGTGATATGGAAACACAGCTTAAAGAAATGGAGGCCCCGAAAATAGCAAAAAAAAATAAGCACTTCCGGTGGTCGGCCTAATAAGTCAAAAGACCGAACAAATTTTACCGAACAATTACTCTGACATATCGGCAGTGTGAAAGCATTTTAAAGTGTCAGAGAAAAATGCAAAAATCGCTGTTTGCAGACACTGTTCTGCTTAACTGTCTCCTAGCACATCCACTCCATCTGTGGCTGACTTCTTAGAAAAGGCAACAAACGGTCTGGAGAAGGCGATTAAGCTAACCACACCTAAATTTGGAGTGCACACGTAGTCAAGATTTTATGGTAACTGAAACGGACCTGAGCGAGCTGACAGGCAGGTTATCGGCTTTATCCTGTCAGTTTCGCTCTTTACAAAGACAAGTGTTGCAGTATGAGAGTCCTACCTGAAGAGAGGCTGAAGTTTTCATGCTACGCGATACGACAACAACATACAACATTATTTATGAAATTGGGTCAGACTTGATGAATTTAGCGCGAGGATACACACGTGTGACAACGTCTGGTTTTCAAAATAAGGTGTCTATACAGTATGGAAATAAGATTAATCGGATTATATTCACAGAAAGTATAAAACATATTACATGTCCATTAAACCTCTCGGGCCTCAGACCCACCGACCATAGTCTCTCCAAATCCTGTGGGAAACACTGAGTAAAAAGCACATTTTGACTATTTAATTTATGCAATGGTAAAAAATTAAAAATGGGGTAAAAATGTGATAAACCTTGCTCGGTAAAGTTTCTCAGCATATTAAGTTTCAGCTTCGGCCAAGAATTTTCATTTCGATGCATCCCTAATGAAAGAGTAAACTATGCTTTTTAGCCACAAAGAAATAGAAACTATGTATAACAAGAAAGTATCTAGTAGGCACTATAATGCTGATCACATTGATACTTGTTGTGCCATTAATTATAAATGCCAGTAATTATATATGTAAGTAATTAATTTGCATTTTATTCGTTGTTCTGTTTTAGCACTGCGAGAAAGAGAAGGTCAGCTTTAGGTTCAATTCAACTACCTTGGGTTTTGTTTCATGGAACTTAATGTTGGTCAAGATTCACAGCATTTTCTCTGCACCTCGCCACTAGCTGCTCTGTGTGTTTTACTGCAGCTATAAAGCCAGACAGGGCGAGGCACAGCTCTAATTTATGATTTAATCAATCTGCTCCTGCTAAAACAGCCTGAAAGAAGCAGAACCCTTGCAGCAAAGCAGCATTATCTTCCACATATCTTTGCTGACACTCAGCCTTACAAATCGGCTTGTTACAGAAGAGAAAACGCTGGAAAGAAGAAAAGGAGGAGAAAAGTAGGGGATGAAGCTGAAAGACAATGACAGCCATGTTAACCCTGTAATGGCCCCTTACAGAGAAAGTTATGCTTGCTTCCCTGCATAAATGAAAGTGGTTGTTTGAGACTGGTAGGCACAATTTTGGAGTGTAGAGTGTGACTTTTGAATAATTAATAAATGCCCAATTCTCAAGATAGCATGAAACAAACACATTGCTACTCAGCAAAAAGCAAAAACAGCAGGTCTTTTTTGCTGCATTCAGACTTATGAAGCTCTCTAAAGACAATAATTATTACCATTACAATAGAAATGTATGTGTCAAAATCCTAAGCATTTCCTTAAAATGACACAAAAACACTGCAAAGCATTGCGAGTCTCCTAAAGGTAACAGGAACCACTAATGTTCTTTGAATTCATGCCAGCAAACGTTTGTGAGAGTGAGTGTTTTGGAAGGAAACTCTTCCATTTACAGCAGGACATTAGCCATCAGTAAATGGATTACATTTGGAAGGCAACTTCCCCGAACAGGCAACTAGACAGCTCGTTTGGGCAGGGCTTCCCAACGCACCACTACACACACTCCCAACACACACTGCAGCAACAGAGTAATCGACAGTCTGGGAGTTTTCCTGCTGATGGTGGACTTTTCTTATTTTTTTAATCAACCACTCTACTCCTTCATCGTTCTGTTGTTCCTCCTCCCCTTCCCCTGGCTGTCAGCGATGGTCTGACCTCAGCGACACACCCACGCATACATATTGTACACACACACACACACACACACACACACACACACTTTACACATACTGTACATACAGCAGCATATCTCTTACTGTCTTACGGTTTTACTCACTTTCCCCAAACGCAAAGCACAAGTAATATATACATACTAGTAAGTATTTGGAATATTATTGAAGTAGAAGTTAATAAGTATACAGGGTTTTCCCCAGGGTGTGGGTTAGCAGATGTGGTAAGCGCTACCCCTGACATCTTAGCTGAAGCGCAGCAGTCGTTTTCCCTTCCCACCACAGCACCTGATCAAGACTGATTTGGCCGTTTATCTCCACTCCACAACAACGGCTGCTCTCATTTATTACTCCAAAGCAGACATATGATGTGATCAATCAATCACCTGCTGAGCTGAATCTGACACATCTTGTTCTTGTTATCAATATAGCTACTAGATGACTGGATGAACAATTATACTGTCCCGGGGGGAACCTTGATTATACAAGATAATCTCAAACTACTGTAAATGATATTATTGGACTCTTGGATGTTATGTCTAAAGGCTTCTGGGTCATTAGCAAAAAAATCTAAGAGGATGTGTTCTGATTGAGGGAGTGATCTCTAGGAACACATAACACTAACCCTCAAGGTCAAAATCCTAAAAAATGTAAGTAAATCTTTGTCAGATTTTGACGGGACACAGACTGAGCTACCTTACTATTACAACACAAACAGAATCATGATTATGCCTCATTATACTGCCTGTTGCTGACAGCAATCCTCATTAAAACGCCATAAAAATGTGCCTAATGGATCGTCGCCTTACAGCTACTGCACTGCTCTCCATTCTGCCTCTGCATCGGTAAGCCTTGTGGGAATTTTCCTCAACTGCAGACAGACGCAGGGAAAGACACACCCATCTAACAAAATACCCTGCAGTAAAGAGGAAGAGAGAGTGAGGCAGGGGTCTGCAAGAGAGTGATTGAGCAAGTGAAACATAAAAGTGAGGGCGTGTCTTTGAGCAAATGAGAGTGATAGTGAATATATACGTGAATATAAAAGAAAATTATGAATTGCTGCAGAGAGATGAAGGATGGGAGATTTTGATTATAAAATCAGAGAACAAAAACTCCCAAACTGCAGACTAAACTGTAATTGCAGTGGGTTTATGACTCTGACTGTGCTTGTGCATGTTTGCATGTGTCCACAACATTTAATACACACATGATTTCAGTATTTGTTGTGCTTGTTCACTTGCTGCAACAGTGAAGGGCTTTTATGTCAATGATTGAAACCATAAATCCACCAATCCAAACTGCTCAATACAGCCATTTAGCAGTGCCTTGATGGATGTTGTAGTTTTATTGCCTCTCTTGCACTTAATAGCTGTAGTCCTCCTAACTTTATGCTACTGATTGCTCAGCTCCTCTAAAAGAACTCAGCAGAAAGTTCACTTTAGTGGTGTGATTTATTTCCATTTTGGAATCAACTTAGGCTATCGTGTGTTTTACATCTCCTTGTGTCCGCCTCTGAATCCTCCAGTGAGAACTTAACACATAACATATTGTAAAGAAATAGAACCTTTTCAAAGTTGACATTTGGCTGTTCTATGGCCAAGATAGCCTGACTTTTAGTCCCTAGTTTGGGTTGTTAAGGTCAGCCATCTGGCTGACACGAAAAACTGGGGGTTTGGGTCCAAATGCAGACAAACAGAGAAAAGGAATAGTTGAGTGCTATTATATTACACAAGCTGTGAATAATGTATAGATGGTACTGAAACTGGTGATCCAAAAAACAAATAGGTGAGTAATTCTTGAGTCCAATAGAAAATACAAATCCAGAAACGTCCAGAGTAAACACAGGTGGATTCCATAGAACTATGTCGAACAATGAACACATGACAATTGAGGGTGTGAAAACCAACTAAATACACTAGTGAGGGTGAACATTTTCACAGACATAGGTGAAAGACAATCAGTGAGAAATGTACACAAGAAGTAAAACAAGACAATGACACCAGGGGCAGACAAAACTACAAAGTAAAACAGTAACCATAAAGCATACAACTACCACACCGGTACCACGACATGGGTAAAGCTCCAAAAATGGATCCTGTATTTTCACTATAGACTGTATAAAAGAACCCATTGGGTCCAATATTTGGATGATGGTGACGGTGGTGCTAGCAAGCTTGGTTAGCTAGGTGCATCTGTAATTCACATTAACTGTGATTTTAACTGGGATGCTACTTTTAGCTAGCTAGAAACAGGCTTAAAACAAAATGTACTTACCGGGAAAAAATGAACAGCCGACTCCTAATAAGCATTTTCAATGGCGCTGGTTAAATTTACAGTGCAGCAGATACCGGTCACTCATGGGTCACTGGTAGCAACTTGTCACAACTTATCACAACCTAACGCTACTTTATCATCTATTTTCTACTAAATGGGACCATATTTGAAGTCCCGCTTGATTTCAACCTCACCTTCAGTTTGTAATGCATGCGTTCTTTTGTAAATTTCACATTTCAAACCAAAGCCGAAACATCCATCACAAGATCAACAGGAATATTTTCTCAGACTTTGGAAACCTCTCTCTAAAGCCACAGATGACATAATAAAACTGTTTTTATAGGCTGAGTAGTGCTAACCTAAGTAAGATGAACTTCACGCGTGCCGCTTTTGGCTAGCATTTGGCTAGGTGTGCAGACGAGAGATGTCACTTAGTTAGTATGGCCAATAGTAGGATTCTGACTCCTGAAACACTGAATGCAATCGCTGTTAATATCATTAATACTTGTGTCAAAATGCAGTGGTCGGCTCCTGCCAAATCTCTCAGTGGGGGCAATTGTTGCGATGATGGCTAAGATGACCAGTTCAATGGTCTTAGTCTGCTATAAGACAAGGATTGTTTCTTAGGCTACATACTATACAGTCTTTGTGAACAGCTACATCCTGAAGTTCATTGTCAATGTCTACAATGAATGAACAGTCCACAGTTAAGATCTACCGATCTTTAGACCTTTGGATGTAAAGGTAACTACTTTAGCAATAATGAAAAAAAGAATGACTCTCACAATCATCTGATTTAGCAGTGACAAACCATTTATTTAGGAACAACAAATCCAGAATAAAGCGCAGTGGCACTGGCGTGATGATGTGCAATGAATGAAATTATTTACAGTTAATCTTGCGTTGCAGCTAAGGGACCCGTCTCAAGTAACAGTACAGTAATGTAATGATGTCACATATGCTGTATATGAAGGTAGATCAAACATAACTAATCTTAAATATTTAATGGGGTACAGAGGAGCACAGTATTTATTTTCATTCTTTAAGTTACACACATTACACAAGACTAATAAGGTAAGCAGAAAGTTGTAAAAAATCCACCTGTTATCCTGTAGATACACAGTATTATTAGGGGTG